CGAACCCGCGACCCTCAGATTACGAGTCGAGCTCCCTAACCATCTGGCCATGCCGGGCCATAGAGTTAGCAGTGGGTGGTGTTAACTAGCTACCTTCCCTATAATCTATCGCTTCAAATTTAGGAATGGCTAGATAACCGTGAAGTACCTTTGTATAAAAATGAAACAAACAATTTTCCTTTAATTATTGTTACTAAATACTTGCTTAAAAACATTTCATAAAATATTTTTGAGTGTTAAATGTCAATGTTGGGAGAACTACACTACTGACAGTGTTATTTAATTGTTAATATCATCTGTATTCATTGTTGATTGTTAACGGATATTAACTTGACAGAACAGAACAGAAGTTGATTGTTAACGGATATTAACTTGACAGAACAGAAACAGCCAAATAGTTGTCACATGTCATATCAAAAAGTCGTATATTGTAATCTTGCCTTGAAGTAAATAAATTGACATTTTCTGCAAGGTTATCGTTACAGCATTAGCAAAAAACAATTATATCAGGTAATTGCCAAGCCAACTTAATATCTCTGTTAACTTATTGTTTTCCTTACATATTTTTATGAATTACTAATTTCATATTCAGGGATTTTGAAGCAAGATTTTGGATGTTAAATAAATTAGTGTGGATATTGAAACTTGGTTGTTGTTTTTGTATGTTAGGTTTACTTAACTTTTAATAGTAATTTTTTCTTTTCTTATTACAACATTATTATTGTTTTTATTAAAATAATCATCAGAAAGTGATGGGAGGTTATAGCTTCTGATCCATGATGTTAATTATGTTAAGAAGAAACTGACTTTAATTATCTATAGGGTTTTTTTTTGTGGTTTTGTTGATATTTTATCCTGAAGCAAAAACAAAAGCTAAATAATATAAACAAAAACTGAATCCTCAAACTGTTACATATTTAACAATTTAAACTAGAACATAAACATACTCCAGTGGAAGATGATTTTTGAAGTTAAATATGATGTGACTAATTGCTCAAAATACTTTAGTTTTTATACAGTTTCAGTTCACTTTTATAACCAATCATAAAAGTCCTTTCGTACAATTGGTTGCATGTTTTAAAGGAGATATGACCATTAATAAAACCATGTACTTTATTTCCACTGAGTAAGAAAAATATTAGTTTATTTTTTAATAAGTATGACCATTAAAATTATATATTAAACCAGTGGAAATAATTTTAAAAAGAATTTCAGTTACTGAGTAAAGAAAAGTTTAAAAAGTGTTTGATTTGAAATAATGGTTGCAGTTTTAAATTCCAGTATAATAGTTAAATCTCTTTACATTTGTGTGAATGAGAGTTATGTAGTGTAACAAAATAAATATAAATATTATTTTTTATGGAAAATATATGCACTTTGGTTATATGTAGTAGTAATACTATTGATATTCATAGAGAGTGGGTAACTGCACTGTAGAATGTATCAAAGGTATTTCAACAGAGTGAATAACTGTATTAGGTATATAACGTGTGTTATTGATATATCCTTAGAGGTTGGGTATCTGTATGTAACTTACATCATGGGTTTCTCAAGAGAACTATTGTTTTTATATATATACAATAATAACAGAAAATTAGTACGTTGGAAAAAATGTTTGCATACAAAAGATAGTTATACACTTGTACTTTCGGTCCCGATAACGGAAACACGTACTTGCTAATTGGTCTATGTTTAACGTATTTTTACAGCACAAATATGTGTAGAGCTTCTAAGTGTTAAGTGCAACGACAACGTTGAATAAAATGTAA